AGGACTTGTTGGTCATAACCAAGAGCTGCCGTGGATACTAAGGCAGAGGTTTCAAAGTGTCCTTGGAAAGGTTAAAACCTTTCATGTTTGGACCATAATCCAGAGATTTTATCATTTGATGTAGGATGAGAAAAGAAGGCCGACATTTTCCTAAGGCCACCTGTGAGAATCTCGTTTAGCTGTATTCTTGACCCCTCTTCTGTTCGCTGAAGGTACAGGTTCTGTTTTCAAACACTAGAGAGTAAAATGGGGAAGGAGAGAAGACGACGGTAGGAGTAGCTTTGGAGAAGGGAGAGGTGAGTGGTTTCAGAGGAATGTGGGAGGGAGAGAAACAGCTGGCAGGTGAAGGAAGTCTATGGGAAAAGCAGAAAGGAGATTTGAAGAGACTCCCTGGACCGTTTTCATGGTTCTTGAAACACAGAAGCCAAAAGTGTTTTGAAGTGACTCTTTGGTGGCCCTAACTCCTCTCTATCACTGAGCCCAGTGGCCTCATGCCTTGGACAGCCATTTGCATTTCTGATTCTTAGGGACCAGGGTCTTCACCCACACTAGGTTGCAATTTAGATCCGAAACCCGGATTGAGGAGCCAGATGCTTAAGTCTTGGAGAGCCTGAGGAGTTTTAACTTACAGTGCGGCATGCTACCATGCTTCAAGAGGTGAAAAGGGAAATAAAAACTTTGCCTTAATGGCTACAGATAAATAAGCCAAAGAGAAGATGCCAGCTCACATGAAAGATTTTTTCCCCTTCCAAAAACATGATAAATTCTCTTTCATCATTATAAAATGTCTGTTTCCCAAGAACTTTAAAATCCTGGAGCTCCCCGTTATCTGTTCTCCTTAAGCCTACTGCTGTATTTTTATACCCGTCTCTTTAGCTAGTCTGAGTGGAGCAGGGTTTTCAACCACAAGTGATTTCCACACCACACTTTCTATTTTTTCCACAGCACACTCTCAAGGCACATTTATGTGTCCATCTCTACAGTTTTAGACGTCAGGATATGGACAAGATACTACCGGCATCTAGTAGATAGAAGCCAGAGATGGTGTAACTACACGATTGTGTACAGGACAGCCTCCTACAAGAAAGTACCTGATCCCCAAAGTTCATAATATCAGCATTGAGAAAGCCTGGTCAAGAGCCTTCTGAGATTCCCATGGTGTCCCTTATCACTGGTCTCTTCACTTCTACCTTCCCGTTGTGCTCAGAACCAGACCTTTGTCTTCATCAATACCAATTTCTCATCTCCCCAGTCCTGCCTTAGAATAGACCTAGGACCTTTCCACGTGACATCTGTATTAACTGTCAGTCCTTGTTCATAGTTCAACTGAAGGGAAATGTGGCGCTGTGCCTGACATAGCACAGTATAATACAGACTAGAATATCAGATAGTAGAGTGTAAGCAACCATGTGGGTACTATATTAGTTATGTATGCATACCTTAACTAAGATGCCTGGGAACATTTTAGTTTGGCTCCTGTTTCATGGTTGGTTGACCTAAAGAGCCTGGGAAGAACCTCATGGCAGTATTATAATGGGGTGAATGACCTTCTTCACCCTGTGGTGGAAAGGAAGCAGAAAGCAGGAGACAGGAAAGGGTCAAGGTCAAGTTAGCTCCAATACCCCACCCACCCCACAGTGACTTATTTCCTGCAGCAAGACCACACCTTGTAAAGTTTCCAAATGTCCCAAAATAAAACCAAGAGCTGGAGGAACATTTCATATTCAAGCCATAACCACAGATAATTCTTACAAGGGTTAAATGAGTACATACTTTAGAAGCACTGGCAATGCTGTCTGACCTCTAAGAACTTAGTACATGTTGAGCTGTAGTAGGAGGCCACTTGTTTCCCAACCGCCCAGCAGCTCAGACCCGAAATAACCACATAGAAACTGTATTAATAAAATCACCGCTTGGTCCATTAGATCTAGCTTTTTGTTGTGGTTGTTGTTTTTTGTTTTTTTCAAGACAGGGTTTCTCTGTGGCTTTGGAGCCTGTCCTGGAACTAGCTCTTCTAGACCAGGCTGGTCTCAAACTCACAGAGATCCACCTGCCTCTGCCTCCCAAGTGCTGGGATTAAAGGCGTGTGGCATCACTGCCTGGCTTAGATCTAGCCTTTTATTGGCTAACTTTTATATCTTAATTTAACCCATCTCCATTAATCTGCACATACCACGAAGTCAAAGTTTCAGCGTGTCTGTCTGGCGGAGGAAGCTCCATGGCTTCTCCCTGATTCTGCCTCCTTCCTCCCAACATTCAGTTTAGTTTTCTCCGCTTAGTTCTGCTCTACCCTATCACAGGCCCAAAATAGCTTCTTTATTAACCAGTGGTATTCACAGCATACAGGGGTGGGGGGGGGATACCACATAACCTCCCCTTTTCTGTTTAAATAAAAGGAAGGTTTTAATTTTAACATAGAAAAATTACATACAACAAAACAGATATCAAGCAAGAATTACAGTTACAACATTTATATCTACTTTATCTTTTATTATAACTAAGAAAGACTATAACTATAACTATAAATTTTTAACTCCACCTAAGTAAACAGGAAGTGCATTTTAAGCAACTTTGAAAACTCTAGAATTGACAGAGACATCTCACTGCCTGGACAGTCACCCAAAGTTTTACTATACCATTGGGGCATCAATCTTCAGCCTACAGGATCGTAGTATCCAGTAGACTTTTCCATGAAGCAGGAACTTTCAGTCAGTTCCGCCTATATTGGCAGTATGTCAGTCACTTTCTTTTGTGTTCTGCAGAATGTCTAGCAGACTCTTTCTATTCTTTCATTAAGCAGGAACCCCAAAGGACTGTCTCACCTTTAGGCAAGTTCAATAGTCATTTTTCTGTGGGTCCTGCATGTCCAGTTCACATGTCCAGTTCACACAGTAATCAAGCAGTCCAGACAAGAACAGTTTCTTACCCAAATGACTAACCAACTCCATAAGGAGCCTCTTCAATGCCCATCTTCCTCTTGAAGTAGATTAGTGCTGACAGGAGCAGATGTGTCTCACTGTCATGAAAAGTCCTAAATTTTTAAAACATTTTAAATGCCATATTCCGTAGCTCTTTGAAAGATTTGAAGAATATCTAACTAACTGAAATATATCTCTATACACCTAGAAAATCTAACTAACATGACTACAAGCTTGACTATTATAGATGATTATCTATTAACCTGTATTTTTAATTATACATTACATTTTTAAATGAGCTGCACAAACACAATACCTTAATCAAGAACAGAAATACATATACACAGTATAACAAAATTTACCTTAAATTTGTATAAACCAAAATCCATACCAATGCAAATCTCAATAGCACATTCCCTTTACATGTAAACAAACATTTATAAACAAACATTTAGGGAATTTGGGCATAGTTTTCTCCAAATTGCATCCTGCTGTTTGTTGGGCAAAGTAATTTTGGGGGGTGTTTACAGTGACCTTTGGGGGATCTTTGTCCATCAAACCACATTAGTCTGGAAGGATTTTTACAGGTTCTCATCCTCGGTGGAAACAAAAGAAGAACCTTTTTTCCAAAGTAATTTATCCTTAGACCCAAATTATGAAATCACGATACCTTTAAAATATATATGGTGGTTTAGCTTAGCATACAGAGGGGAATAGAGCATACAGAGGGAAATCCCACATCATTGAGCATATTATTATTGGTGCTTTCTATACCAAGATCCATGTTGGCCAACTCACTTCCTCTTTTACAAATCTGGGAAGCAGGTGTATTTTAGTAACGGTAGCTTCTCTCAAATGCTTGCCTAAGCTATCTATCTTTTTTAAAAATTTTATTTATTTATTTATTTATTATGTATACAATGTTCTGTCTGTGTGTATGTCTTCAGCCTTCTGGCACCAGGCCTCATTACAGATGGTTGTGAGCCACCATGTGGTTGCTGGGAATTGGACTCAGGACCTTTGGAAGAGCAGGCAATGCTCTTAACCACTGACCCATCTCTCCAGCCCCTAAGCTATCTATTTTTTCACATCTGTCCTGACCAGTGTTTATTTTAAGGTGATGAGACAAGGTGTGTCCTATTTTTCTCTTGCTTCATTCTGGGTATTTCCATACCTTCTTGAGACAAGGAACATGGATGAATATAAAAGCAAAATGGACAAATACTCAAAGCACTTGAGTGGGTGGTAGAATTCTCAGCCTGTATGGGTGTATCCTGGGCAAAGTGTGAGATTTTGGTATGAGTAACCCTGTGTATTGTGATGTATTTCACTGAGATGAAATTTGTAGAAATAAAAGAAAGTTTGCAACCAAGCTGGTTGTTGCTTTTGCCCATGAGTGTGTGGTGGAAGTAGAGAAAGGAGATACAGGTGTCTAGTAGAAAGGGAGGCTTGCAAGTTTCATCTCAAAAGAGATATCAGAGCTATTAATAAGTATTTGTGAAGGTTTTTTGTTTGGTTTTGGTTTTTGTTTTGAAAAAGAATGGTAATTGAGTCAATGAGAGAGTAAAAGACTACATAAAAAGAAGATAGTTGAGTCTACTCTGAGAAGCTATCTCTGAATGAATGGATTTGTGGGTGGGTGTGTAGGTAGGTGGATAGATGGGGTGAATAGGTGGATGAATATGTGGTTGGGTGGATAAGTAGATAGATATGTAGGGGGCAGGTGGACAGATGGACGAATATGTGGATGGTTGGATGGATGGATGGTTGGTTGGATGGTTGGGTGGACAGACATTACATTACATAATAAGGTAAATTAAGGCCGTGCTCGTTTTCAGGGGTGTTGAGGAGAGTGTACTTCCAGCTATAGATTCCACTTGGGAAATGATAAAAGCCCAAATCACCATACAGAAAATGAAAGTGATATGTGTGGTATGGTTTCCCTATTTTGATAATTTATGTTATATATGTTCTGAATTATGCAACAATTGTTACTCAGATTATGCTGGCTTATTGAATGCTGTATCCCACTCAAACATACCATACTACCATAGTAACTACCCATCTGTTTTACTGTTTTAGATCATAAGGCAAATGGACTTTCTGCATCAAAAGACCACCAAGAAGTTACAGTAATAGAGTACCAAGGTATGGTATTTTAAAGGTTTGATTGGATTAGTTTGTTTACATACTGTTCCCCCCAGTGGTGTGTGTGTGTGTGTGTGTGTGTGTGTGTGTGTGTGTGTGTGTGTGTGTGTTGGGAGAGAGCATCCACGGTAGGAGGACAACTTTGTGGAGTCAGTTTTCTCCTTCTACCTTATGTGGATTCCAGGGATGAAACTCTGGTCAGCTCTATAACAGCTGAGCCATTTAACTTGCTGCCTGCTCACATCTTATTTTCTGCTTCTATGGTCTGTTTGGTTCTCGTGATGGCATTTATTATCAGTCATGATGCTGGTAGTGGATGCTACTGATCACGTACTTGGAGCTTCTGTGGTGGCCACTCTGGTAGCCATCTTTTAGCCAGCCAGGTGTTGATCTGTTCACCTGAAGAGGAACTTTTGGCCTTCAGGCACCCTATCTTCAGAGATGAGCAAGATAAGGGTGGGGCAGAAACTCCATTAGGTCACCTAGGCAGTACACAATTAGGGCTGTATAACAAAAGGCACTCAGATAATTCCGTTAAGGCCTTGAAGTTGTAATATACTGCGTGATGACGCTAATAAGGCACACTGTATTGCGGGACAATTTTAAATGAGGGACGATGGCCAAGAGGATATCATTGCCTGAAAGTGAGTTGGACTCTGGAGTACTTACAGGAGGCCAAACAGAGCCGGCAACGTGCAAGAAGGGAGGCTGGGAAGGTTCAGAGTGTGCACAGCAGGAGAGGGTGACCTGACCTCGAGAGTCAATGAAATTCAGCCTTCTGCTCACATCCTCAGAGGCGTTTACCTAGGTCCAGGCAGATGCGGTGGGTGTGCATACCTCAGCTCTAATATCACTGTTAAATGCCATCATTGCGTGCTTTAGTTTTACATTACTTTTAAAACATTGCGGCAAAATTCACATGAGTTTAAAATCTGACGTCTTATAATGTAAACACTTCAGTGGTACTGAGTATATCCAAGGTGTTCTTAAACCACAACCTTCCCTAGACCCAGAACATTTTCTCTACCCCAAAGTGAAATCCTGTCCCCACTCGGCTTTTCTTTTTAAAGACATGCTTTATTTTTAACATGGAAAATCTTTCTATAATTTATCGCAATCAAATGTTAATCTCAGGGATGAAGTTACTGTGCTCAGTGGGAAAGTGCTTCATGGCAAGGCCAGTGCTTACCTGTGTACAAGGTGCTGGGTTAATGCAGGGAGAACACGTGTGAACACACACACACACAGAGGGGGGAAAGAGGGGGTGGAGGGAGGGAGGGAGGGAGGGAGGGAAGGAGGGAAGGAGGGAGGGAGGAAGGGAGAGAGAGAGAGAATCTGACTCTAGAGTAAATATTTACCATTTTCTTTATTCCCTTTTTTAAAATCGTCCTTCACCTTAGTTCTTTTTGATCCGCTTCTAATGTGGCCCTCCGTTAAGCACAAATCATTTCGTAGTTTCTCCCACAGTTTTGTTTTGGTGGTGGTGTCTTCTTTTTGTTTTTTTGTTTTTTGTTTTTTTTTTTTTTTGTTTTTGCAATAACTTTAAGTCTGTGACATTCTGTGATTTGTTTACATGAAACACGTTTCATTCAGGTTTTTTTTCCCTCGTATTTCTCTGATGTCAAAAGTTATGAATTAATCCCTGGTTCCCAGGGCTGCTGGTCTGCCCCACTTCCCATGGTGCTGCCAAAAGCAGATTAAGCCTGAAATCAGGGCAGCTCTGCCAGCTTGTACATTACATGAGCAGCTCTCTGCAGTGTCCAAACCTAAAAGTTATTAATCAGAGCTTACAGCGACCATTTTCCTGAACAATGGTCTTTTTTTTTTCCAATCAAGATTAAACAGATGTTTTGACAACATAATCCACCTTAACAGAAAAGGTTGGTACCTTTTGAGTATTAATGTGTCTTGTGTGAAGACATATGATTTATATCAATACTACTTGTTTTACTATTCAAAGCAGAGGTAACATTTTAGTTCAGATTTGGGCAATGTAAACATAGACTTGTGATATCATGTGGAGGTGACCTCACTGTTTTTCCCCATGGAAGAAAAAAGCAGGCCACTTATGGAATACATGTTACATTCAAGGATTACGTATATCAAACACATGCACACACATATTTTTATATACTCAATTTTGACAAGAATTATTATCTTATCATTCCACTGATATGAGTATGATGCCCCTATTATCTCACGCCTAATATGTGATCAAGGTCTAACCCGATGCCTGTGCTGTAACTACCATGTCACCATAACCCACAAGCCAGATATGGAAAATTATGCCATCTGGGAGTTTTGAAGTTTGGCTGGAGAAAAGGGAGACTTAACATCCAGGTTCTTTATCCTGAAATGTTAGCCTTATAATTCTGGCACTTTCACTATCTGTATTAATATCCTAGGACTGTCTTAACAAAACACTACAGACTCTGAAGCAACAGCCTTGTTCTCTGACAGTTCTAGAGGATGGTAGCTCAAGATCAAGGTATTGATGTCTTAGAACAGTGGTTGTCAACCAGTGCCCTCTGGCGGGGTGGAACAACACTCTAACAGGGGTCACCTAGACCATCAGTAAACACAGATATTTACATTAGGATTCATAACAGTATCAAACAAAAGTAGCAACAAAATATATTTTTTTGTGAAGTAGCAACAAAAATAACTTTATGGTTGAGGAACTGTATTAGGGGTCACAGCATGAGGAAGGTTGAGAACCACTGTGTTGAGTTTCTTGGCCTTGACTTCCCTGTGCAGGACACTTTCTCAAAGACTCTTAGAACCAAGATTCCTAGCTTCTAAATCTTTGATCAGATGTTACCTTCTGAAAGAGATCAACTATGCTATGTATATTGTGCCCTTGTCCCAGCAATCCTCCATCGCCTCTGCTGCTTCTTTCTTCCCCATCTCTGACCTTCTGGGTTGCTTGTTGGCCTGACTTTTCTTGCTAGATTGCAGATCCCCAAAGCCAAAGGATCCTTGCTCTGCCCCAGTACAAGAACAATGCTGGCTCCACGGTATTATTGGACATATTTTGGACAATTGGATAGATCACTTTTTCACATTACATATGTCTAGTAAGAAGGAGATGAAAGTGAAGTCACTAGTGTAGGGAAAGTCACTGGTTACATTTTCTAATTGAATTTCCTCAGGTTTTTTCCTCAGAACAGTGTACATGTTTAGTTAAATATATGAAATAGTGTGGTGTGGTATCAAATTATCTCTCAAGATGTAGGAGTAAGACAGAGAAACAGTGAAAAGGAGTGTGGGTGTGTGCATAACTGTTGGAAAACTCAACAAAATACGGGAAGGAAGCCTATCTAAAACTCAAGACTCCGGAAGTTACCACCCTTTCTCCTTAATCAACAGCACAGACTGCTTCCTCAGACAGGTCCCTTAGCACACATTTGTCTTTGGAGCAGAGCTGTAAACACCTCTGAAAACGATCACTCCATGTGGCGTGAAAGCTTAAAGCTTTAAGCATTCAAACATATGCCTATAGACTTTTTGTCCGTGATTATGCAGATGAGATATGGGGCTCTTTAAAAATGACATTAAATGTTCTTAAACATCAAAATCAGACATATGGAAAGGATTTTAAATTTTTATTCAGTGAAAGTTCCTGTGATTTTTTTTTAGGTCAAACCACATGCCTTATGATTAAAAATACTCAGAAATATGAAGTATTTCCAAAATATAAAGAAGCCTAATTGAAACAGATTTTGTTGTTGTTGTTGGTGGTTTTTTTGTTTTGGTTTTTGTTTTTTGTTTTTTCAAGACCGAGTTTCTCTGTGGCTTTGGAGCCTGCCCTAGAACTAGCTCTTATAGACCAGGCTGGCCTTGAACTCACAGAGATCCGCCTGCCTCTGCCTCCTGAATGCTGGGATTAAAGGCATGTTCAATCGCCACACAGCAAAACATACTTTTAAATTACTTCTAGCTGGAGCTTCTGCTTGGCAGCTTGGACAACTACTGAGACCAGTGTTGAGTGACTCTCCCTAGTTGTTTTGTTTGGACAGTCAAAAGAGGTGACTCCCTCACAGGCTCCAGAAATTCCTTAATGATCCAACTGTGGTCAAATTGCTGTTACAAAACTGATCATCTTTGTGACACTGAAATAAGATCGGTGCAGAGACTTGTCTTTGAATAATTTCTGCAGATTCAGGCACAGTTACAGGCAGTCCTTTTGCAGTAGGAGCCTACAATTAGTATAAGGCTATATTAGGTGTATGTAGAGTGGGGAAATGTAGCCTGTGAGGAACTTCTGTGCCTTTTCCCAGCATGCCTGAGATGGACTAAGGGTCTTTCTTAGGTGAAAATGTTAAGTACTCCCCTTGGCCTCCTTCTTGATGCCCATCATCTTTGCCTGAAATGACATTGTCTTGCCTGCATCTGCCATCGAACTTTAGACTCCTCAGATGCCAAGACTTAGACTAAGAGTAAATAATTAGCCACAGTGGCTGTTTATTAAGTACTAACAATTTTTAGGCTTGCATGTTTCACATAAATTGCTGCTTTTGAAGACTCACAATTGTGTGAGTCACTATCCCATTCATCGATAGAAACTCAGATTCCAGAACTTGGATTCTGTCACATAATTATTACAGAGAACAATTGTCATGTTCCAAATTCATCTTTGGGTGAAGCCAAACATGGCACCTATTGATGTGATGTATTTATGTCTCTGCGTATGACTGGATGGAGATGAATGGATGGATGGAAACGCAAAGAAAATTATAAAAAGTCATTTAAAGATTTTTTTAAAGCTTTTTAAATTAAGTAACATGTAAGATCATAGGATCAATTAAAAGACATATTTTCCCCTATTGTTTCTAGAGGCTATTTTAGCTTGTAAAAGCCCAAAGAAGACGACCTCCTCCAGATTAGAGTGGAAGAAACTGGGACAGGGTGTCTCCTTGGTGTACTACCAACAGGCTCTGCAAGGTAAGACACCGTAGACTGGAAGAGGCCAGGGTGAGAGGACATCAAGTGCAGCCCACTACCAACAGGCTCTGCAAGGTAAGACACCGTAGACTGGAAGAGGTCAGGGTGAGTGGACATCAGGTGCAGCCCACTACCAACAGGCTCTGCAAGGTAAGACACCGTAGACTGGAAGAGGCCAGGGTGAGTGGACATCAGGTGCAGCCCACTACCAACAGGCTCTGCAAGGTAAGACACCGTAGACTGGAAGAGGCCAGGGTGAGAGGACATCAAGTGCAGCCCCTATTCCTTCATTTACAAGTGGGAACAGGACATGACTGATTACGGAAAATGTGTTTCTGTAAGTGTGAGATGGAATGAATAGTGTCTGAGACCTAAAATACAACAGTTACAAAAACCAGACAGAGCAAAAGTAGGTGAATTCCACCGAGTCCTGGGATCCTTGGTTGCTTAACATGAAACACAACTATTTTGCTGGCCTGGTAAACTAAACTGTTAGTAAGGAGAAAAACACTGATCTGACTTTGGACCTATATGGTGCTGCATTCCTTTAATCTTGGCACTCTAGAGGCAGAGGCAAGCAGATCTTTGTGTGTTTAAAGCCAGTATGATTTACATAGCAGGACAGTCTGGACTACAAGAGAGACCCTATCTCAAACAAAACAAACAGAATGAGATTGGGATTAGGGTTGCTGCCCAGTAATAGCAGCCTTACCATCTTCCCTGTTTCCCTCTAGAAAACAAGCTTACCACTGAGAAGCCTGGAAAGTTGGGATGTAAAGTGCTATATTATCTGTATTTTAATACATAAATAAATCTTGCCTGAAGACCAGAGGCAAAGCTAAAGCCACTAGAGGTCAGGTAATGGTGACACACACCTTTAATCCCAGGATTTGGGAGACAGAGGCAGATGGATCTCTGTGAGGTCAAGGCCACCCTGGACTACACAAGATCAATGCAGAAACAAATCCAGGTGGTGGTGCCTCACCTTTAATCCCAGCACTACAGGGAATATAAAATGAGAAGAGAGAGATGCTTAGGCTGCTTGATTGGCAGTCGCCCAGCCTTGGCAGAGGTAAGATTCCTCTAGTGCGCTAGGCTGCTTTGCTTTTCTGGTTTTTGGGTTGGACCCCAGTTTTTGTCTCTGGGTTTTTAGTCTTCGAGCTACACAGATATGTGGACTGACAGATACAAACAGAGCCTGGAGAATCGGAACACACAGACCGTTGGTTACAATAACAGCTAGCAAGTACTTTTCATCTGTGGTACACCTTTCACTCTCGACTCTCCCTCCGGATGCTATAATTTATTACTAATAAAAATGTGATGATGGTTGAACCATGGCATTAGTTTGTATGTTGGTAACTTATCTGTTGCTGTGAGAAAATACTATAACAAAGGCAACTTAAGGAAGGAAGGGTTTATTTTGGCTTATCGCTCCAGAGGGAGAGAGTCTATCACAGCAGGAAAGGCATGGCAGCTGGGTCAGGAAGCTTGCTGATCACGTTTTCATCCATACACAGAAAGTAAAGACGTGTAAAGGAAGTCCAGGGATGTATCTCCTCCAGCAATGCTCACCTCCTAAATGCTTGATAACCTCCCAAAACAGGGCCACCAAGTGTGTTTGGGGGGGGGAGGGCAAAGGTTCAAAGTCATGAGCCCATGAGAGACATTTCTCATTAAACCACCACACTGACTGAAGGGCACATGTCTTTAATTCCAGGCACTCAGGAGGTAGAGGCAGATGGAGCTCTGTGGGTTTAAGGCCAGTCTAATCTATATAACGAGTCGTGGGCCACTCAAAGCTATGTGGTAAAACCCTATATAAAAAAATCAAATTAATAAAATATTCCATCTGATTCTACTCCAATAAGATAAGACTCAAGTTTCAAATGGCTAATAGAACAGGTATTTTTACATTTACTTACTACAGTTGCCAATTTAGGCACTTGCATATTATACAACCCCATTTTATTTTATTTATTTTTCATTTTATTACATATACTTATTTGGGGGAGGGGAGAACGCATGCCATGTGGAAGTCAGAGAACAATTAGCAGGAGTTTCCTCTCCTTCCACCATGTAGAAATCTGGGATGAAACAAATTATTGAACTCTGCAGCAAGCACCTTTACCCACTAGGCCATCTCACTAGCTCAAAAAAAAAAGCCCACTTTAATTCACTACTTGCAATTATCAAAATCTAATCAAGGTAATATCTTTAAGGTCCTTTCCACCTACATAATCTTCCCTACTTGAATAGCCACATATAAAATTCTGTTCTGACCTATTAAACTGTTTAGTTTTGAAAGCAGAAACAGATACTAGACAGGTGGCAAGGCAGGCATTCAGTTGAGTTCTTTAAAATCAAACATGGTGCCAGATGTAGTGGTACACACCTTAAATCCCTGCACTCAGGAAGCAGAGGTGGGTAGGTCTCTGTGAGTTCAAGACCAACCTAGTCTACTTAGAGAGTTTCAGGCCAGTCAAGGCTACAGAGAGAGACTCTGGGAGGGTGGCGAAACTAAGTAGTCTTTAATAGTCTAAAATGTCTTCCAAAATACATAATATGCACGTGTAAATTCAAAGTTTAAATTGAAGGTTTTACCAGGAAAATAAATGCTTTAATTTTGAATGAAGTAACTTTAGGAAGACGTTACATGGAAAGTTGCTTGTATTGTTTCTAACATTATTATCTTTTTCTCCCCTCAAAAGGCGACTTTAAAGATCGTGCTGAGATGATAGATTTCAATATTCGAATCAAAAATGTTACAAGAAATGATGCCGGAAAGTATCGCTGTGAAGTCAGTGCTCCATCAGATCAAGGCCAAAACCTGCAGGAAGATACAGTCACCCTAGAAGTCTTGGGTAATGCGCACACACATGTGTAACTCCTGTCAGCCGCCCCCCCCATCACCTCCAGCCCTGGGGGTGAGACACTAACCCAGCCCCAACAGGACCGCCACACTCTATAGGTGCCTTCTCAGCAAGACCAGGCGATTCCCCTCAGCTCACTGGCTGCTGAAATCACTAATTCATTTCCAAATCTCTCCGTTTAAGACTGAAGTAGCTCCTAATAGTTCCGCTCTGGATCATGAACATTTGCCCAAGATTCTGGGTTTTTGTTGTTGTTGTTTGTTTTTCAGTATTCTTCATGGTATTCCATAAGTTGATGGAAAACCAACAAAAGAAACAGCAATTGTAGACTAGCAGAAAAATCAGAAAGTATTTGGTTCAAAACAGTTAGCATTTATTTGTTAGCTAGCAGACATTAAGTACTTTCACATAGTGTTTTACTTAATCTTCACTACAAAACTAAATTTGACAAATGAGAAAACAGAAGTTAAACTATTTGCCTAGTGCCACACAATTAGAACAAGTCCCAAGCATGTTATCCAGATGTCATCCACATCCAGATAAGGTTAACTCCAAGGCTAATATGATTAATCAGCATAAGAATGACTGGTAGACGCAAGAGTTCATATACAGCAGTAGATAGGACCATATTTTCTATGATGTTAACATAAAAAACCAAGAAAAATAACCTTTTCTCTTTAAAAAAATGTCATTAGGAATCTTTATTATGTAGTATTGTCTCTCAGCTTCTTGACTAAGGCCAAGTATAAAGTATATTTACATGCTTGTGAGTGAGGGATGTCTGTGTGGTCAATTACTTGGTGGCAATGGCTAAAGAGAAAGGAATGGGAACAGAAAATGATACATAAAGGCTAAAATATGTCAAAATAAAAAAAAAAGAAAAAATGTAATTCAGGAACCTTGCAGCCGATTTAGTTGGTATAATCATTTTCTATTGCTGCACAGTAAATGATCACACGGTTTCTTAAGAGAACAGTCCTTATGAACTTCTTGTTCTATGGATGGAAAGTCCAGTAGCAAGGCTGGGTTCTACTCAGTGTTCCACGAGGCTGAAATGAAAGCTTTACATGGACTGAATTCCTTTCTCCGGGCTCCGGGGAAAATCTGTTTCCAAGCTCATTCTAGGAGTTGGCAGAGCTTTATTTCCTTAGGATTGTAGGACTGAGATCTCACATCAAGCTACCTATCATCCAGAGTCACACTCATTTCTTCGAGGCTGCCCATGGTCCCGTGACCTCACCCTTTTCATCTTCAGTACAACAAAGGCATGCTTGGTCCTTCTTATACTTTGAATTGCCACCATTTCCTTCAGAAGAGTTTACCCTACAACTAAAAGGCCCCTGCTAGGGACTGGAGAAATGGGCCACGAGTGGTTAAGAGGACTTGTTGCTCCTCTAGATAATCCTAGCTGGCCCAGGTTCATTTCCCATGGGAAAATGGCAAATCTGTTACTCCACCAGGTCCTGATGATCTTCTGCCCTCTTCTGGCCTCTATGGGCATTGCATGCACTTGGTGCATATACGTACATATATTCGTATGCATTAAATATAAATAAGTAAATCTTTGAAAGGTCCATGTTGTGTGACCAAATCCTCCTGTTTACTATTACAGACAATAGATTTGGAATCTTGTCTTTTTTTTAAAAAAAAAAAAACCAGGGTTTCTTTGTGTAGCTCTGGTTGTCGTGGATCTTACTTTGTAGATGAGGTTGGCCTCAAACTTTCCTGCCTCTGCCTCTCAAGTGCTGGAGTTAAAGGTGTGCACCACCACGACCCCCTGGTGATTTCAAACCTTAATTATATTTGCTGGATTTCTTCACAGTACTTTTGTATTTTGAATATCTGAGAGACAATGTGTACATACTGAAGATGGAGATATTTTGGGACTGTCTTCGAATTCGGTCCACCATCGCCAGTCCCGAGTTTTCCAGATTATTAATATTTACCTACTAAATTCTTTTACTTCAAATCCCTAAAATCCACTTTTTCCAATCAGACCCCACTTCTCTTTTTAAGTTTAAAATTATTTTATAATAAAATAAAATATAATAAGATAAAAGACCACTTCTTAAAGTGTCCACAACCTCTCCAAAAGTACCACCAGCTGGAGACTAAGTGTTCAAACACAGGAGTCCATGAGGGTCATGGCATTTCAGATCTTATCATTCTGCCCATGAGTCCCAGACACTTGTGGGTATTTTCTAAGGGGAAGTACATCCGGTCTAACTTCAGAAACCACTAGGCTCATGGCCCAAACACTCTTCTAAAGGCTGAAATCTTAAATCATTCAAAGCAATCGCTTAGCCATGAACACTTAAAAAATAAAATATACAGTGTTTCACAATAAACATTCACATTCCAAAAGGGAATAATGGGGTCACGGAAAGGAAAGGCTGGGCCAAAGTTAGCCCAAGACAGAATGAAAAGTACCAAACTCCACAGCTCCATGTATACTATCTGGGCCCTTGGTGGTGTCACCTGGGCTCAATGACCTTGGGTAGCCCCACTGTTCAGTTACCTGAGGCACAGGTGGCTTCTCATTTTAGATAGCTCCATTTGGTGCCTAAATGATTTCTCAGTGAAGGTCCTGACAATCCTAATACCCTGGGCTCTCACTCAACTTGGGCTTTACCCTCACAGTTTCACGTCTAGGCCACACAAGAGCTCCAGGCAAAGAATCTGAAACTGTTACACAGCTGTTGGAACATCTTTCTGGGCTCTTGGTATAACTTGTCTTCCTCTTGAACCAGAATGCCTGAAAACAGACAGACAGACTAGCAGCACCGAGCTAATGTCAAGTACTGTAACTGGCTAAGATGGGTCCTGACCCTCTTGGACCTCAGCTCTAATAGCCACTATGCTCCTTTGCTACTGAACTGGGCCAGAAATCTTCCTTTGACGTCTGCTTTACAGAAAGACGCCTACAAGGCTGTGTTTTCAGGAAGGCTCCCTCTACAGGAATTTGAGTTGTCACACCATGGAGCTCTTCTTGATGAGGGGTTTTTCGCTCGTGGCACCCTTTCTTCCTTCACGGTGCCAGTGTGTTTAACAGTTACAGCTGCTTTGTCTGGACTCACCTTGCCCTCAGCCTGCAATTCAAACACTTCTGTGCACCTCTGCTGGTTACAAACTTCACTTGTATATCTTTTCACTTCCTCCTTGTAAATCTGACAGAAAGCAGTGACGAGGTACCATGCACAGCCTGCACACTATGCTGCCTTGAGATTTTCTCAGCCACACAGCCCAGCCCACTGCCTTTAGATTTAGCCTCACCCCAGTTCTCAGGACACCAGCAGAACGAAGCCAGATTCTTTGTCTGAATGTCATAGTAATTGGCCTCTGATCCAAATTCTGATACAAGGCAAGTCCTTCATCCCCTCGAAAGCCTTGTAAGCAAGCACAGTCTTTATTGTTTACCCGTATACTGGCGTTCTTATCTTCCCCACACCCACCAGAATAAACCATTAGCTTCTGTGAATAGCAGTATAGGGCCTCTCCAGCCTATAGGTCCAAACTCTATTACAGTTCTGCGAATTAGTTCCTAAGGCTTATGAAATGTGTGAAAAGAGAGTTCCAGCAATGTTTGCTCTTCTTGACGCCAATTTTTGCTATTATCAACTTTTCACATTTCTGTGACCACCTACATGACAGGGAGCAACTTAAAGAATGCTCATGTTTTGATTGTATGTAAGTCCAGCATGGTAGAGAAGTCATGGGGATGGGACCAGCTCAGCTGTGGCCTTGGGAACATTAGGCTGCTTGTTCACATCCTGGCAGATCAGAGAGCAGAGGGCCCAGGAGCAGAACTAGGGTGTGAACCTCAAGGCCAGTCCTCAGCAACACACTTGCTCACAAGTCATTCGCAACCTTCCCAATACCAGCAGCAGTGGGCCCAGTGTTCAAACCTATGAACCAGCCCATGGGGAGGAGAGTTCATATCCAAACCCCAACACCCTACTTTATGAACTTATGAGACTCAGAAAAATATTGGTCTGGCATCTTCAATACATGACTTTCTAAGCGCAAGTGTAATGACAACTACTTGGTAATAGGTAAGGATAAGGTGAGCAAATGAAGCATACATCAAGTTTTAATAGGTTAGATGTAGAAATGGCTGTATCACTTTTACTTACATTCCTTTGGCCCAAACTAATGCATGTAACTCCCCTAGCAGCAAGAAGGGTAAAAAGTATAGTATATTGTATGCCCAGGAAAAAAGGAAATACATCTAGTGACTAGTGTTCCATCGGTAGCTCGGTGTCCCCTCAATACAGACTATTATAACTCATGTTCAGCCAATGAACAGCCTGTCCTCTGGCTTCCATTGTCTAGTGGCCCCTGCAGTTCCTTCCTGTGAAGTGCCCACTTCTGTCATGAGTGGGAGTGTTGTAGAGCTGCGGTGTCAAGATAAAGAAGGAAACCCTGCTCCTGAATACACATGGTTTAAAGACGGCACCAGTTTACTAGGGAACCAAAAGCTTGGCAAACACAACAGCTCATACACAATGAATACAAAATCTGGAATTCTGGTAAGGCCATTTCAGGTATTAAACACTAACCATCATTGTGATGAAATAAATGGTTATTAGAACCTAAAATAATATAGGATGACAGATCAATATCATTACTTACTAAGTGGGAAGAGGAGGTGGGAGCAGGAGAGAGGATAGCGCATGTATTAGCAGTAAGTGATGGGACAGACATCATGGGAAGTGGGAAATGGTACAGGTAACCAGGGAGCTAAGGTGTGACCAGGTAGGGGGCAGGCCAAACCTTGTTCATGATGCATCAGGCAGTACTACTCTCTAGCTACCTCTCGGGCCTGGAAAGTCACTGACCTCAGCCTCAACTTACGCCGCTGAGGAAATGCACAAAAAACTCAGCTGGGGATACACAGACCTCAGCGCTAACATGGAAACAGTGACCACAGGAAAACCACGTTAGGATGTTGGGGTCATTAAACTTTCCCAAGGCTCCAGATCTTTCTTTCACTACACACTCTGTGGCTTACTTATCTAGTACCTTCACTTGGATTGATTTGATTGTCTACTCCTTTCCTAGAGGGAACTGAGAAGGCTCCATAAATATGCGGTTCAAGCATAGTGACATTTTTATAAACCATGTTTGCTTTTTCACCTGTGACTTTTCAGAGTAGAGGTGAGCCGAAAAAAAAATCAGGTCATTTAATTTGAAGCCATTTGTTTCCAATCCAGATAATATCACATTGGATTTTAAATGTTTTGTTTCCAGCAACTCAAAAATCACTACCACAACTATTATGAAAAACACTCTTATAGGTAACATTAAAATTTGTCTTAGGAATTCTGAAACAAAGATACAGTCTTTCCTTTTATTCTCTCTCCTAGTGCAGTGCCACATAGAAACCAGATCTTCTGATGCCTAGGAAAGCACACTAGTTCTGTAGCTAAATGAAGAGCGGGGGGGGGGGGGGGGGGGGGGGGGGGGGGCGGCTGCGCATAGAATAAGGCCATGCCCTAGCCTTTTCCTGTCCTCGGGAGCAGTCAGCAGGTCCGAGCGATTTTACACTGTGACATTGGCACAACACCTGCAGTCACACTCTGCTATATTTACTCCTGGATTTATTTTTTTCTGAGTGGGTGATAAAAGCCCCGAGGCAAGTCTGAAATGCTAGGATCCACTCTCCGCAGGGAACCTCAGCCCTCGGGGCATCTGGAAGGCAATCTCATGCTCATAGGCAGCTTACACTGGAGTGGGCTCTTCGATCTTCCCCCCAGATCCCACCCTTCCAGAACTCTCCAAGGCGATCAAATTACTACTACAAACTAGAAAGCCTTTTATACCAAATTCTTACCTCTTGTGACTTGGCAGGGAGAAGTAGTAAGGGTTGAACTTTCATCTTTCCAGAATTTCCAAATACTCTGGAATTGCTATAATTTACAATCCTATAAACATCCGTTGAGGTTTCCTGGGTCCAAAGCCACTTCCTGGCCATAATTTTGACTCTTTGGAGAAAGTGCTGGTGATTGCTCCTGCAGGGATCCCTCAGGGACTGAGAAATTGTACCAGTGAATGGCACTCCCTGAAACTAGAGGTATGGAGGAGGCATGTAGCTGTAATGCCAGCTGCTTGAAGGCTACAGAGGAAGGATGAAGAGTTTGAAGCCAGCCTGGGCAACATAGTGGCATACTGTTGAAGGTAGCGGGGAATGGAGGAAGAGAGACAGATTTCCTCAGAGAGTGTTGTCTTTTTCTGACAAATTAAATAGGCCTAGCTATTTACTTCTCAAAGTCCTGGCAGATTCTGATAGATACATACTCAGTTCACAAAATAAATAAATAAATAAATAAATATCAAGTTCTGACCCAGTTGATGACAAAATTCATTAGTTTTTTAGGAGTCTACTCACAGATTTACAGTTTAAAGGTTAAACAAATACTTTTCTCTGTACAAATAGCAATTTAACATGATATCCAAGATGGACAGTGGAGAGTACTACTGTGAAGCCCGTAATTCTGTGGGACACCGCAGGTGCCCCGGGAAGCGAATGCAAGTAGGTAAGCACGGGCTATTGAGAAGCACTGGTGCGGGAGTGGAGTGTGGAATAGTGATGACGGAAGGACCCAGGGGGTGGAAGGGGCTGAGTGATTTGAAGGAAAATTGGAAAAAATGTAAAATGAGCTTAATATAAAAAAGCAGTATTGTTTTCAGTCTCTCTTCTAATCGAGACAAGACAATTTGGCTTATACATAACCATGTTTTTAATTTTTCAAATCAATGTTTTAAAATGTGCTTCTAGAAAATCTGTGTTAAAAAACCACGGCCAAGTGTGCTACAGTATGTTCCTGGGAGCCCGCATAAACGTCCGCTACCAGCTTGCTGCGCATTCCAGTCCCTGCAGTCACAACATTGGGCAGGCGTTGTGCTCAATGTCACAACGTCTTTCTTCATAGGGTTCCATGAAAATAATACAGCAGTGCTTACGTGCTGTATCTACGTTAGCCATACGGGTTATTGTTATTAAGGCACTGGCGATGGTTGTGTCAATGCCCTGAAACACTAAGCTTATGCTAATTTCAAAGTAGGTTTTCCAAGAGACACACGAAATAGTAATGGATCTAGATTATCCAAACCGTAGCTACAATATATTATATTTCACAAAGTGACATTTAGAATCCAAGAGAATGACAGCTTTACAAATCTTTCCTAGGAAATATGAGTTTCATAGAGCATAACCGCCACCCCCGCCCCCACCCATAGGGATCAAACCCAGGACATGAGTAGACGTCAGAGAAGGGTCTCAGGGATTGTGTTCTCGACAGACAGCAAGTGCCGTTACACACTGTGCCGTCTTGCCAATCCTAACATTTAAGATTTGGGGAAAACTTGGTTCTCTGAATATTTTCAATCAGCTTTGAGCCATGTCTTGAAATTAACTTAGTTAAATTGACTTAGTTAAATGTATCCTTAACATTGCTACCAAGGGGAGCTTTTATGACTGTTGGATTTAATGATGGTATGTGTCCATGAATTCATGCACGCATTATTTCACATTCCAGATGTTCTCAACATAAGTGGCATCATAGCAGCTGTAGTAGTTGTGGCCTTCGTGATTTCTGTATGTGGCCTTAGTGTGTGCTATGCTCAGAGAAAAGGCTACTTTTCAAGTAAGTGGAATTCCTCTCTCAGATATGTCATTTCCTGCGAGCAGAGCGATTTCTTTTTAAGGTACACCGTTTCTCCTATGAAGTTCTACCCACTCTGGAGAGCAGTTTTACTGCCACTGTGCTAGAGATAATGTCCACAATTACATGTATAAGGGTGGTGATGCACCTTGGCAACCAGAGTGGGGGTGGGGTGAAGTGGAGAATGCTTCTCTTTTGAAAACTTCTAGGCAATTCTATGGACTGTGAGAATTAACCTTGGAGGCTATAACAACACAGACATTCAACATAGACGAATGTTTATGGTGTATTAACATATTATATTTTAAGTTGGAATTATCTCTTTCAGGATAGACACTGATTTTTAATTTTACAACCACCAGTGAAATGTTTCAGTAGAATGTCAAATGTCTAATTTCGTACAACTATAAAGAAAATTGTTAACCAAAACTAGACACCTAGTTGGGCATGGTGATATATGTCTGGGATCCCAGATCAGGAGAGCAGGGTGGTGTCATGAGAAGAGTCAGTTTGAGACCAGCCTGGACTATACAGTGAGATCCTGTTTCAAATAAGCTACAAACAAAACCAATGAGCACACATAGACCCTACTGAATTAGAGATGCTTCCAGACAAGGTTTTTAGTTCCTCCTGGTTAAACTCTTGTAGCTTCAAAATACATTTGACTATGCAATTAGTTTTCTATACATTTTTGAGATTTAAACACATCTAATTCTCTTAATGTATTTACTTTCTTCTTGTATTTAAATTTATGAAAGTGACAGAGCTTTTACTTGCTGCATTGACAAAAGCGTATGAAGTTGAATTTTTAACTAAAATAATAAGTTCAAACATGCATGAATTTTAGACCCATTTCTTAATAATGGTTATTAGTTTTAGAACTTAGGTTGAAAATTATTCATATCAAAATAAAACAAAATCAAAAGGAGTTCCTGATAACATAAATAAACGTTATGCATCAGACATATTTCCATGGAAGCTGATTCAAGGTAATTCCTTATGCTTAGCTACTGCTGGGCACAGAGTTCACACATGTAATTACAACACTCCTAGGGTTGAGGCAGTAAGATCTTAAGTTCAAGGCCAACTTGGTCTACAAAGTAAGACCCTGTGTCAAGAAAAAAAGAGTGTGAACTGTTATGTGAATCAGAGTTGAGCCTAGCCTAGCCTATTTTATGAATAGAATATAGCTGTGTCCCCCTGCTTGGCAACAGTGAAAGTATGAACAAAAATATCATTCAAAGCAAGGAACTCAGGACCGCGAGGGGTGCACCCACACACTGAGAACATGGGGATGTTCTATCGGGAACTCACCAAGGCCAGCTGGCCTGGGTCTGAAAAAGCCTGGGATAAAACTGGACTCGCTGAACATAGCCGACAATGAGGACTACTGAGAACTCAAGAACAACGGCAATGGGTTTTTGATCCTACTGCACGTACTGGCTTTGTGGGAGCCTAGGCAGTTTGGAGGCTCATCTTACTAGACCTGGATGGAGGTGGGTGGTCCTTGGACTTCCCCAGGGCAGGGAACCCTGATTGCTCTTTGGGCTGTCGAGGGAGGGGGACTTGATTGGAGGAGGGGGAGGGAAATGGGAGGCGGTGGCGGGGAAGAGACAGAAATCTTTAATAAATAAATAAATTAAAAAAAAAAAACAAAGTTCCTACCTACTTAGAAAAAAAACCCTGATGACTTTTAAATGAGGAATCAGTAAAGATACTTTTCTTAAAATACTGAGAACTGTCATGGGACTTAAGAGTTCATTAGCTAAAATTATTACTTCCATTTTGCTATGGCAGAAAACCTGTCCAAGGGAACCATGTTTTTTGGTTTTTTGAGCTAGGGTTTCTCTGTAGCTTTGGAGCCTGTCCTGGAACTAGCTCTTGTAGACTAGGCTGACCTCGAACTCACAAAGATCCGCCTGCCTCTGCCTCCCAAGTGCTGGGATTAAAGGCATGCACCACCACCACCTGGCCTGCAACTGTATTTTTAAACTTGTGTTTTGGGATCCGCATCCGCAAACTTTAACCTCTGGCCAAGCCCAGTTTATATCTGTTTTTCTTTTCTTTCTTTTTGTCTTCTGGAACCGGAAAATGAACCCAAGACTTTGTACACACTAAACAACCGATCTACTACTGAGCTACATGGCCAGCTTTCCTTTTGCTTCTTTGACACAGGCCACACTAAACTGCCCTGCTGACCTTGAATTTATTATTGCTGCCTTAGTTTCCCAAGTATCTGTGATTACAGGTTTGCACCACCAGGCCCAGCTCCCTGTCTCATTTTCTAGGGCCTGTAAACTAAATTTTACAGATGCAAATTTCAAATTATTTAATAATAGTAACACTACCTTGGGACCAATTTCAAAGAAATATTAGCCTTATCCCAAAAGAATCCTATTACTTTAATTAATAAGCGATTGTGACAATTATTATTTCTTTAAATTTTAATAACATTTTTGAAACTTTATTTTCTTCTTGATTATATAATTCCAAAGTATTCTTGAATTTACCCCTGAGCCTTCAAAGCCCAAACATCTGTTGTACATATCATTTTATAAGAAATTTTCATTTAGAAGGTTTAGATGTTACAGCTAAGACTTAAAGGGAGTCAAGCCAGAGTCACTATAGATAGATCTGCATATTAATTCTTGCACTAATGATCTATACTTGTTCTTTTGCAGAAGAATCTTCCTTCCAGTAAGTATCCTTTGGTAACACGTTTTTCTTCATATCTTTTATTCTTCAATCATCTGTTTAATGTCAAAAGTGGTTTATTTGTATAGACTAATCCTGTTAGAAGTTAATTTCCTTCATCAAGAAATACATACTACCTCTGCACCTGCTTATAATCAGCAAGAGAAGAACATGGTCTCTAATTTTGTAGACATTTCCATAGTACAACTTTAAAAACACGTTTCTATGTTTCACTAAACATTTTAAAATAAGCTTTCACTTAGTAATCTTTACACTTAGTTGAAATTTAATCAGATTTGTGCCCCACACTGTTCCAGGCACTGCCATTATCAGTTTTTTTTTTTAAGATTTATTTATTTATTATGTATACAACATTTCTTCCATGTATGCTTACATGCCAGAAGAGGGCACCAGATCTCATTATAGATGGCTGTGAGCCACCACGTGGTTGCTGGGAATTGAACTCAGGACCTCTGGAAGAGCACTGACTGCTCTTAACCACTGAGCCATCTCTCCAGCCCCCATTATCAGTTTTTTAAAGGCCAAAACACCCACAAAATCACTACTGGAAATCATGTGTCAAAATAAATATCATTATGGAGCTCACATCCCAGTAGCAGAAAATAAGTAAACCTGTACACTCTCCAGCATTTCAGAGTGTGACAAGAGCTATGGAGGAAAATAAAACAAGTAAGAAAGCAGAGGCTACAGAGAGTGGAAGTGGAGACTGTCATTCAAACAGAGGGCCTAGCAGGGAGGGACATAGGTGATGTTTGGTGAAGACTGAGGATGAAAGCAAGTCAAGCAGATATCCACAACTGGTGTTCTTGCAGAAGGGGGAGGAAAAATAACCCAAAAGTACTCAAGGTCAGGATGCTCGTATCAGAAGATATGAAGATGAGCATTGTGCTTCCAGCAGTATGAGAAGAGAGGCAGCGAGCACATGAGAGTATTGGAGATTGCTAAGCAAGTTTGAGGATTTTGAGACATTTGGCTTTGGTTCTAAGTAAAATAGGAAGTCCACGAAGGGCTGTAAGCAGCTTTAAAAATTTTAATTTTTTGATGTTCATTTTGGTTTCTCTGTTAAGAATAAACTTTAAGGAAGAAATGGTGAAAGCAGGTAGATCAATTAGAAACAAATATTAACCAAGACAACATAGTTTATGGTAGTTTGTTTTTATGTGTCTGAGTGTTTTGCCTGAATGTATGACTGTGTACCAAGTGCATACAGTATCCATGGGGGTGTTGGAGTCCTGGAGGGTTTATAGCATAGTGGATATATTCTGACAAATTACCTGATCTCGATTCAGGCTGTTAGGAAAAACAGAAAGTGGGAGGTGGCTTCAGGGTTACAAGGACACATCCTCTACTTACTGAACCTGGAAGACTGCAGGGGGTGTGGCCTTGGGAGAAAGGTCCAGAGTGCTTGAACTTTCAGTACTCTATAAGCTTACTAAACTCTTAAGTAAAAATAATCAGTAACAGAACATATATGAATGTGGAGTTTGGGGGGAAAATCTTCTTTTTTAGTTTATTTTTATGTGTGTGAGTGTTTTGCCTGAATGTATGACTGTATGTATTGCCTGAATGTATACTGTATGACCAAGTGCATACAGTATCCATGGAGGCTAGAAGAGGGTGTCAGATCTCCAGGGGTTGGAATTGCAGATGGTTGTGAGCCACTATGTAGGTGCTGGGAGCCCAGTTCTCTGCAAGATTAGCAAGTGTTCTTTTTTGTTGGTTTGTTTGTTTTTGCCCTTTTGAGACAGGATTTCTCTGTAGTTTTCGGGCCTGTCCTGGAACTAGCACTTGTAGACCAGGCTGGCCTCGAACTCACAGAGATCCACCTACCTCTGCCTCCCAAGTGCTGGGGTTAAAAGCATGCACCACCAACCACCTGGCTTTAGCAAGTGTTCTTAACCACCAAAACATCTCTCCCACCCCTGGGAGAAAAAAATGGAGTAACGCCTAAGACATGGATAAGATCATCAAAGTCCCAGTTTCATGGCACTTGCTCTGCAACTGCCCACCCTTTATAGACAGGCATTGCAGATCCCTATACCCTCTTCCCTCTTTCCAGCTGGCATGGCTTCTCTTTATATATGGGCATTGCAGATCCCTATACACTCTTCCCTCTTCCCAGCTGGCATGGCTTCTCTTTATATATGGGCATTGCAAATCCCCTGTACATTCGTCCCTCTTCCCAGCTGGCATGGCTTCTCTTAAATCCTTTGAGGACTCACCTGTCATGCCTGCATCAACCCTGGTGTCTCAATCTCATGACATTCCAATATAATAAGTCAAAGGTCAGGTCAAAGTCTACATATCAGGATTAGCAAAGGGGAAATTCAGAAGACAACCCTGGTGTCTCAATCTCATGACATTCCAATATAATAAGTCAAAGGTCAGGTCAAAGTCTACATATCAGGATTAGCAAAGGGGAAATTCAGAAGAACAGAACAACCTGGATATATAGTCACCAACCCCGCCCCAGGCAACTGTGAGCACTTAAATTTTTTATTTAATGATGCAAAATGATTGGAGCATTTTTTGAACAGAGTGAAAAGCAATCTTAAATAAAGAAGGCGGGGTTATACTTTCCTTCTTTGAGCCCCTGTCAAATCAAGCAGGAATCTTCATAATCCAGGAAGGAACATTTTATTTCCTTACACCTTATGTCTACTCATGAAACCTGTAGTCTTCACATCGAGCTTCTACTAGAACCCTAATCAACACGTAAAACTTTCCACGGGCAAATAAAATTTCAGATTATAATAATCAAACTTTTAAAATATTTATGGTATTATATCAGGTTGAAAGTAAGTCCCTTGTTTGTGTATTCCACAAAAACAATTTAACATGTTAGACTTAGGCTACATTTTGTTGTTCGTGATTTCACACAAACCTGTACTTTATTACATGGCTTCTCTGGGTACTGTCTATAAATGTCAGGAACCAGTCTGGGCTGCTGGTTTTTCTTCCTGCCTGGCTAAGATAGTTCTGCTGAATAAGGATGGGTTCCAGGATTGGAAGTAATAATAAAGTAAATACTGTCTTTGTGTTCTACAAACAGGAAGGGCAGTCCTGCATCTAAAGCCATGGCAATGAGTGAAAACGTAAGTACTAATAAAGCACGTTTATAGAATAGGCATTTAGGGACTATGGCAAGGAAATGAAGCAGATGTATGGATATTGTGATGACATTCTTAATACTTTAGGTTTGTGTCTACCACTGCTACACTAAAGGATCTAAGTAAATGTTCACTTCCTTTCCATCTGGGTCGGCATGATAAAGATGTTTGACACTTACAGAGCAATTACAGGAAGTGATTTTCATCATATTTCTGTTGGGGGCATTCAGCTCTCAGTCTACCTTCTTAATGTGACTGAGTCTGGCATTTTCAGCCAGTTTTGATAGATGAGGAAACTGAGTACAAGTTCTCACAGGCTAACACTGGTGGAGGTGGAGTCCAGGTACCCTGTCTTTGAAGTCTACCCAGCTATTACCATGCTACAGTTCTAGAACTTGGTTATTGCATGCATTTAGAAATGTTAGGGATATAAAACAGCATCTGCTACTGCAGTAAAAGGAAATAATCATCTAGCTGAATTCACTTAGAGAACATCATTGGAACCTGCTAGACTACTTGGTAATTTAACAAGAGAGGGAAACCCAACATTCTCAGAAGCTTAAACCCTTTCCTGAGAAAAGAGGATTCCCAGAACCCTTCAGAACTCTAGGGAAGGGATTCTAGACTTCTTCCAGCAGAATTCAGGCATCAGTAACTTAACCATTTAGGTTCTTGTAGAAGATGTATACAACACCCATTTATTGCTCTGTAAAGTTTTTTTTTTCCCTGTAAAATTCTTTAAAATCTACTTTCTTTAGGAGCTACGACAAAAGTGACATTTTGTAGTTTATTGCACTAATCTTTAATTAGGGAACAAATACCATGTCCTATTATCATCATCTATGATTTACAGTGAAAGCCTTTTTCATCCTTTCAAACAATAAAAAGCACTTCGTCTCCAAATTAAAGGGAAAGGATCTCTCTTTCTCTCTCTGGTCTTCCTCTCAGTTACCCTCATCAGCTCCACAAGTCTCCGGTTGAGTTTTGCCTGCAGCAGGGTTTGCCACCTCACAGTGTTGGGTCACATTGCCGTGTTGCCTTGTGCACTATTGGATGAGCAGCAACAGTGCCTGGTCACATGTCTAACAAGCCGCGGTCCTCTTGTGCTAACTCCTGCCCAAGTTCTTTATTCTCAGCAAAGTTCAAGCTTTTTCGCTTCTAGCTTTTGCTTAATTGTCCATAAAATTAGATTTAGTTACATATATACTGACTGTAACTCTAAAAATCTTATAGTGTGATATTCTTAAGATTTATATGAATGCATTTATATATGAAGTAGTACATTATATTTAGGATTTTTTTTCTTTCTTTCCTAGGATTTCAAGCACACAAAATCCTTTATAATTTAAAAGAATTCCACTTTCAAGATGCGCCAAAACAAGTTGTCACACAAGTTATTAAAATATTATAAAAACCTGCTTTGTCTCACATTTGCAAAGAGATGAATGAGGAAATGACAACATAATTTTTATGACCTCTGGTTTACCTGAAATTGTTATTTTAAGCAAATAGTTCTTGTCACCACTTAAAATACAGACTGGCATCCTGTGTCTGAACTAAAGAGAAGTGAAATACCTGGTAATATTCGGAGTTTTGTGAAATGCAAATGAATTTTCAAAGTTTTAGAAAATTTAATATGTCATGGACTGTGAAGCTAACCTAAGAGGCAAGTATACAATGCATGTGCTCTCTGTGCAAGAGTGGCTTGTGTGTTCAGGAAATACTCTAAAGAATGGAAACTCTGATCTCAAAATTCCCACCAGAACCTTCTTACCACAAAATACCCCTTATTCCTGTGGTCCTTTGCACTAAGATATCCGTAAGGGAAGCCCAGGGCTCGGGCCTACGCCCAAGGATTTGCACTGCGTGCTTACTTTCACTTCTCAGAACCAAAGTCAACACGAATGGAGCTGCTTGCTGCTATTTCCATTTCCTGAACCTCCTTTGGAGAGGCTCAGTGACCTGGACATCAGAGCACACTATTAGAACCTACACAACTTCGCAGACACCTTGCGCTGCCCGAGGTGATCTTATACCTATCTCTAAGAGCAATTCAGAGCTGGGCAGGTCCCCCACTGCTGAAGATAAGGGGTTGTCAATCTGCTTATAATGAAAAAGGGACATGGGGAAGAAAAGTGTTTGAGTACCTGTAAAATGTAAACAAATGAGCTCATTTTGACTCCCAGCTTGCTTGATACAGCAAGGGCACATGAGAAACCATGGCTGAAAAGAGACATGGGTCTCATGCTTTCTGAGATGTTTAACCACAAAGGCCAGCAGCTGATGTCCAAATATAAAATTCCCAGGGCTCAATAGTAAAACCAGTCCATGCTGAAAGCAAACTGTAAATAGAGATATCTAGTTCTGGTTAATAGTGTGAAAAGGTTCTTTATTCCTTGTGTCAGCTTTGAACATGGTCAAGTTGGCTTCCAAAGAATTTGTTCTTTCTGCCTGAAAGGCAAAGCAGGTTCTCAGGATTCACTGACCAATGGAGTAGGTGGTCACTGAGTACTTAAAAGTGGTCAGGTCACTGGGGAGTTGTCCAGTGTTGTGCTGCTCGCCTTTAACTTTGTGGCCTTCAGTCCTTCTCAGTAGACTCCTTCCTAAAGGTCTAGCTTCTATAATGTGGCTCTGCTCTCAAGGTCAGATTCACACTTAGTTGAGCCAGCAAACTCTACAAAGAACAAGACAGTAGACATTTTAACCCCCGTGGTTCCTGTTGTGGTCACTCAGCTCTGTCACGTGATGTAGAGAACAAGTACGTGTGGCTGTTCCAAGAAAACATAATTGAAAAAATCAGTGCCATAGGTTTGATTTGCCCACAGGTACAATCTCATTCCTGGTAGCAAATGGCAAACACCAAAAATGTGTGGTGTATAAGAAATCAGGGTAAATGCTGCCTATGCCCTGACTAAGAGACTTGCTTTGGTAGAAAGCATCCTGTCCTCTGCAGTGCCAAGTAGACATAGAACTCTCAAGGATGCCCTTAGGCCATATACCACCATCACAAGATCAACTGCTTCACTTCAATGACAAATCCAGTGTGAGAGGACAATTATGTAGTGCCTTAACTTCACTTAGACACTGAAGCCTGAAGATTCTTTTTATGCAATGAAAAAACCTAATAAAGTCTGTGCCAAGTATCTATTACACAGCATTAACTAAAATACTGTAGAGCTGTCATCTTCACGAAGGCTGTAACTGCGAACACTAACTGCCATGTCCATTTGCTCTTTTCTGAGACTCAGTGTATCAAAGTTGAATTGTAGTTTATAGAGTGTTTTGATTTCGTTTTTCTACAGTGAACCTGTAATGGGGCTCTAGAGACCATAGTAACAACTTTTATTTTAGTATTGTTGCTGTTGTAACTAGAGCCAATTTATTTTTAGTTAGGGTGGGAGTTAGCTTAACTAAGTCCGAGTATTTATTTTTCAATACAACTTTACAAAGAACTTCCTTTATTCTAAGGCTCACTTTTTGATTAAAGTCCACATTACAAAAATAGCTACAGGCAGCTAAACTTTAGCAGGGGAAGTCACTCACCTATTGTTCAGTAAAGCCCAGGAAACCCCTCCCTCTTACCACCTGCAGCTGTGAGGCAGCACTGCAGAGTAAAGATGATCTCAGTGCTCAGGCTAGACACCTGCCAACTCCTAAAGTCAGAAAATAAAAAGGGAAAACTTACTGGATGCTTTATGTATGTCAAAGGTCAGGGATAAGGAAGTGCAAAGTCTCACTCCTCTTCTAAGAGGAATCAAGAGGAGTCTGTCGTTTTAGAGTTGGTGATTTCGGGTTTCAGTGCTGTTGTTGGAGCTGGGTTCTTTGTGAACACATGTCCACCTGATTCACAGCTCACTTTTTCTTCATTTCAAATTCTCCAGTTCCCTATACTTTGTCTTCATCCTCAGTAACCTCTGGCTTGTCCAACCCTCCGTGGCCCTCAAACCTATCTGTTTTCTATCCATTCTGTCATCGTGGGCATGTTTATCCACTCTGGCTTCCACATCTCCGACCTGGTATTTTTAAATGTCTCTTATAAAGTAACATTTCCAAGCATATTTCATTTTGGTTGACTATCAACCCCCATTTCCTTTCCCCCTTTCCTAATGTAGGGCCCTTATGGCCCTGCGTATTATTGTCTTCCTCCTACCTCCCACCTAGATAAACATACTCAGCAGCAAGAAGCTAGAACCCACTCAAGAACTATGACATTGTGTTTGAGTCCAATCCTTTCCAGTGCCATCCATTTTCTGGCAATTTCATTTGACTTCATGGATGAATAAAACTTGTAACTTTTTGTTTTTAAATGCTAAAGTTAGTTATAAACAATGCTACATGTAAATTCTAGCTACACAACCAACCCATCCCTAGCTTTCTCCATCTTTAACCACCCATGGTGCCATTAAAACTGGAATCCCAGGCTTGCAGTAACTTCACCTTTTCTTTCTGGGGCTGCTCTCAGGAACCTCTTCCAGTCACCTAACTGCTCCTGCTCTAAGGCATCCCCTCCTCACCCCCTCTGAAAGCCTTCTTATGTACTGTCAACAATAACAACTCACTTCTGTTCCCCTGGCTGAACACCTTTCATTCTTTCTTTAGTCAGTCAAGTCTACATTCCACAGCTGGTGATGAAAAAGGCTCCTCCTGTCCTCTTACACATTTGCTCATATAACCCACCTGATCAGCCACATCCCTGTCTTCAGTGGCTGCACCATTATTCACCAATCAACTGGACTGTTTGTCTTTACAATTTATTCTGCCCTTGTAAATACAGTCATTTACAATACTTCTTCTGGAATGCTAGCCCTCCACAAGCTATGGAAAATACTATGTCTTCCTAACAGACAAGTCAAATTCAACTACTCTAGCAAGTTTCTTCTCTGAATTCCCAAGGTGTTTGATTCTTTTGTGATATTCATTTGTTTCTCTGTTATAGCACAGGTAGGTATGGACATGTCTGACACCCAGGTCTTCATAAACCCAAGGTATTTAATAGTATCTAACATGAAAACAATTCCTCAAACTGCTGAATACATGTGAAGCACAAAGAATGATTAAATGTAAGCATCTACTTAGAGTATTAATAAAACATTATATTCTGATACAACTCAATTTGTCTTCTATGAATTGTTACTACATGAATTACAGATGGACAAAAAATAGGTTTCCCTTTTAAGCAATTAGGTGCGTTTCCACAATTCTCTTTTTATGTAGGTGAGTAGTTGCCTACATGTATGTCTGTGCACCACAAGTGGCATTGGGCATCAGAAGAAGGAATCAGAGCACCCAGAACTGGAGTTAGAGATGGTTGTAAGCTGCCATGTGAGTGCTGGAAATCAAAACTCATGTCCCCTGGAAAAGCAGAAAACTATCTTAACCACGGAGGCATCCCTCCAGCCCTATATACACAATTCTTAAATCTTTTTCACCTCTTGTTTCTTATTCAGTAAGATTCAGAATATTTTAGCAGTAATAACTAGTAAAAAATCTAAGTGAACTATCATGTTTGATTTGCTGGTACCAATATGTGCCAATTTTTTTTAATATTTATTTATTTATTTATTTATTATGTATACAATATTCTGTCTGTGTGTATGCCTGCAGGCCAGAAGAGGGCACCAGACCTCATTATAGATGGTTGTGAGCCACCATGTGGTTGCTGGGAGTTGAACTCAGGACCTTTGGAAGAGCAGCCAATGCTCTTAACCTCTGAGCCATCTCTCCAGCCCCTATGTGCCAATTTTTAATGTGTTGTATTTTTACTTTACCAAATTCAAATACAAGGATTCACTATGTCTTTTTACTTTCTATGAAGAAAATGCTCTCAAAATAATGAACAGTTTGTCAACAAAGGACTCATTTAAGATTAAAATACTTTCTGATATCCATTTTATGATCGATTTTCTGCTTTTAATATGTTACCTCTAATTAACATTCTAAAAGATACACAAAATTGAGCATGTTTCTATGATCCATAGATGGATTTTTAAAGTAACTACTGCTCTCAATTTCTTTGTTTTGAGACAGGGTCTCAGTATGTAAAGCCAGGCTGGCCTTGAACTCCAAATCTGTCTTCATTTCTCAATTATTGTATTTATCCCCATTTTTTTGGTTTTGTTTTTGCTTTTGGAGACAGGGTTTCTCTGTGTAACAGCCCTGGCTGTGCTGAACCTAGCTCTTGTAGACCAGGCTAGCCTCGAACTCACAGAGATCCACTTGTTTCTGTCTCCCGAGTGCTGGGATTAAAGACCTGTGCCACCACTACCTGGCCTTATTATACCAATTTTATTAACTTGTAAACTGATTTTTCCTTCCAAAAAGTATTCCACTACCATTGAATTCCCTGAAGTAACTGAAGATGCAGAGAGAATAAAGGTTTTCTCATAAAGACATACTTATATAACAGTGCTAACAGAGCTCCTCTGCTGCTCAGACTCAAGTGTTGCACTTCCTACAGGAAATGATTGCACTGACTTGAAGACAATGCCATCTTGAGATAGTCTATGTATGCCTAATTGTGTATGGATGTATTAGTGAGGAGAATGAATGAGGATAGATAGGCATAGAAAACTGACAGAGAATGACTTGGTCAGTATCCATCAAAGTTAAGAGCAATCTTATTCTCCAATTGCCCCCAAGGTAGCTAAGGGTTTAATGAACCCATATAATGGCATGTCAGAGATACCGTCAATGTAAGATGACAAGGCTATTTCCCTTTAAAAGGCTAACTTCCTTTAGGTCCACCTACAGTTTCTGAAACTTTGATGGAAATAAAGTTCCTGACCTGCAACATCCCCAGGAAATAACTGCTTGCTCTTTTATGGCTGGGCCAATGAACATTACATACAATTACATCTTGAAGAGCCTTTTGCTGGATGCTACCGTCCCCTCCTGAATCATTACATACTATAACCTGCAGGCAAAAATGAGGACATCAGTTTGAGCAGATAGTGGTTAAGACACAACAGACATTTCTGTACATAGGAAGTTACACAGAGTTTCCTAAGAAAGCCATGACAAAGGATATAGGACCACTCCTTCAAAAATGTACATATAAACTGAGTGGTGGTGGCACATGCCTTTAATCTCAGTATTTGGGAGGCAGAGGCAAGTGAATTTATTTTGAGTTTGAGGCCAGCCTGGTTTACAGAGTGAGACCCAGGGCAGCTAAGTATATACAGAAATCCTCTCCCATACACACAAAGGTAAATGTAGTGGTATCTCATTTATATTTTAATAAATAAAGCTTACCTGAAGTTCAGAGAGTAAAAGAGCTGCACTGATCAGCCTTACAAACCAGGCAGTGGTGACACACACCTTTAATTCCAATAGTCACACTAGCTGCTATAGAAACAGAGTGGTAGTGGTGCACGCCTTTAATCCCAGCACTAAAGAGGAATATTAAACAGGAGGACACAGCTCTCACACACAGTCTCATTCTGAGATTCCTGGAGGCAGGACAGTCATTTCAACCTGAGGCAGAGGTAAGAGCTAGTGGCTGTCTGCTTTGTTTTTTGGGTCTTCAGGTTGAACCCCATTTCTGTCTCTGGGTTTTTATTAATCATACTACAGGTAACTATAACATCCTTCCCTCCAGTGCAAACATTCCCTTAGGGGATGGTCTCCACTTTTAAAGAGGACAGCACCGACAATGGGAAGAGTCTAATAGGGACAAGGCAATTTTACCCGATTTATCCAAAATCTCCATCTGCTTCACTCTAACAAAATGAAACAACGCAGAGACAAATCAATGCCAGGCACATCCTCCATATCGTCAAAGAATTTAAAGGACATTTGATAACTGTGAAATGAAAGTTTATTTGAATTTTTTTAATTAGTTGTACAACTAAATTACCAGATGGATTTTATAGTATTCTTCAGGACTGGGGTTTGTCGAAGACTTCAAATTTGGGATCTAAAAAGAGGGAAAAGTTTCAGGCTTAGACACACTACAATAACAAGATTAGCTACAGTGCTTGAAGTTTACCAGTTTTAAGAAAACATCTGCTTTTAAACATGTATGGAGAAATATAACAACCACCAAACTTTCAACAGCTTCTGAGGGCAGGGCTCGCTATTAGTGTATTAATAAAACAGTGTTGTGTATCTAGACCAATCAGATGAGAAAGGTATCATAGTTCATGTGTGCTGTGGAATAATGCTCTTGTATACTGTAGAGATTTGTCACTTGTACTGATTTAATAAAACACCAATTGGCCAGTAGCCAGGTAGGAATTATAGGTGGGGCAACCAGAGTAAGAGAATAGTAAGAGAATTCTGGGAAGAGGAAAGGAACCAGCCAGACTCAGAGGAAGCAAGGTGAGAAAAGATACCAAGCCATGTGGCTAAACATAGACTAGAATTATGGGTTAATTTAAGTTGTAAGAGGTAGTTAAAAATAAGCCTGAGCTAATAGGCAAAACAGTTTATAATTAATGTAAGCCTCTGTGTGCTTTTTTGGGACTGAATGGCCGCTGGAACAGGTGGGACAGAAACTTCCACCTACACATGTGCCGCCCTGTATCGAAGTAAAACAGTGGCGTGAATGCTTCCTTGTGAACACATCATGACTGTATGAAATTCCCACGTAAATGTTATTTAACTTCCAAACAATCCAAAAACCTCTCAAGAATGAAGTATACATCAGTGCCAGCATTTGCATAACAGAGGCAAGGTCCTAGGCCGGACCCTCGCATGAACGCCCCCCCCAAAAATGTACATGAATATTCTCCATCTACAATAATCCCCCATACTTAATTTGGGATCAGACTTACCTTCAAATTTGAAGGTAGGAAACGTATTCATATCTCCTTTACCAAACATTTGTTTAAGCTTAAAAAGCTCTTTGTCCAGATCTTGCTGATACTCTGGGCCAGCATCAACAGGTCCTCCAGATGTCCTATTGTACAGTGAACAAAGAAAACTGATTTTATGCACTAATTTAAAAAAAAAAAAACAAAAAACAGAAATTACCCTTTACCATCACGCTTAAAGAGATTTTTATTTATTTATTTATTTTTTTTGATTTATTTATTACGTATACAATGTGCCTCCTGCATGTACACCTTCATGCCAGAAGAGGGCACCAGATCTCATTACAGATGGTTGTGAGCCATCATGTGGTTGCTGGGAATTGAACTCAGAAACTCTGGAAGAGCAGCCAGTGCTCTTAACCTCTGAGCCATCTCTCCAGCCCTTAAAGAGATTTTTAAAGGTACACATATGGTAGGGAAAGAAAACCTTTTTAGTATCTGAATTTTAATTCAAATTTGTTTTAGAATCGGTTTCAGAGATACGGTAACTTCAAACAAATCTCTAACACTCAAGGTCTGTTAGCTTCAAAGATACTTACTAATCAGACTCTCTTAGGATCTGAGTTGCAGTATATGGAATATGATGTAATCCAGATAAAAAAAGAAGAAACACAAACCAATAAAACAAAACAAAACAAATCCCCAGCAAAACCTAGACACTGGAGGTCTGAAATGTTAAGCCTGGCAGCTGCTGAATAATAAAATGATAAAGGAGCCGGAGAGATGGCTGAGAGCTTAGAACACTTGCAGAGGACTCGGATTCAGTTCCCAGCACCTAAACAGTAGTTCACCAGTTAGCCAGTTCACCATTAACACTCCCTTCTGACCTACATGGTACTAGGCTCATATGTGGTGCACATATAAATACATGCAAAACACTCATACACACTAATAAAAAATAACAACCTCAACAAAAGAGTAGTTATTACAGTCATTCAAATATCCAAGGTCCGCATGTTGTATGCATGAATGGAAGCCAGAGGTCAATGATGACATCCAGTGACTTCCTCTATCTCCCTTTTGAAGACAGGGTGTCCCACTGAACTTGAGTTCCCAAACTGGCTAAACTGGCTGGTCAGCAAGACCCCAAGGATGTCCTGCCTCTATCTACTAATGCTCAGATTAAAGGCAAATGTGCTGTGACTACTGGTGCTGGGGATGCAAACTCTGGTCCCTCTTTATTATGCTAGAACTTTACCAACTGAACCATCGTCCCAGTCCTCAAGACTTTTATTGGGTCCAACCATTGACAATTAATTGCCTTAGTCAGGCTTACTACTGTTATAATGAAACACCATAACCAAAACACCTTGGCAAGGTAAGGTTTATGTGACTTATGCTTCCATATCACGGTCATCTTCCAAGAAAGTGAGAACAGGGACTCAAGTAGGCAGGAACCAAGAGAAAGGAGCTGGTACAGAGGCTATGCATGAAGGAGAGCTGCTTACTGGCTTACTCCCCATGGCTTGCTCAGACTGCTTTCTTACAGAACACAGGACTTCCAGCCCATGCTGGCTGCACCCACAGTGGTGTAGTCGCCAATTAAGAAAATGTGCTATAAGCTTGCCAATGGTCCTATCTCAGGGAGACATTTTCTCAATCTCCTCTCTGATGACTCTAGCTTATGTTAAGGTGACATAAAACCAACCAGTACACTAACTCGACAATCATTTACAAAGCTGAAGCTTGAAACTGTGCACACTCCTATGCCCTATACCTCTGGGATCAAAAGTGTATAACTCTCCAAACAAACTTCACACTTTCTAGTTTCCACACATTAATCTGACATCATTTCTCCATCTTAAAAGATATAATCTTCCTATTCCCAATTACCTATCTAGTCTTTTTTTGTTGTCTTTCTTTCTTTCTTTCTCTCTTTTTTTTGAGACAGGGTTTCCCTGTGTAACAGTCCTAGCTGTCCTGGAACTACTCTTGTAGACCAGGCTGGCCTTGAACTCACAAGGATTTGCCTGCCTCTGCCTCCCGAGTGCTGGGATTAAAGGTGTGCTCCATCACAGCCTGGCCTACCTATCTAGTCTTTAAAATTATTATTCTTAACCTGGTATAGTAAAGGTATTTCTTCTAGTTGATTGAGAACAAGCTCTAAGCAAAATCATGAGGAAATTCTTTCTTTTTTCCCTTTTTGCAATGGGAAGATGATTACCGCTGCCCAGGAGACAGACATCAAAAGGGTAAAAGGGCCCCAAGCACTGCCTTCAAAGGCAAACATGAACTTCTCAAAGATGCCTTTCTAAATGCTTCCAGTTAGGAAGAGTGGTTTTTCCTTTCTAATCTCCAAATATTAGATGTCAGCTAGCAACTAACCATTTGATTCTATTTACTTGTTTATAAGCTTTCTACTTCCATCAGGTTTTAAGAATCTGCATTTTGGGGATGGAGAGATGGCTCAGAGGTAAGAGCATTGCCTGCTCTTCCAAAGGTCCTGAGTTCAATTCCCAGCAACCACATGGTGGCTCACAACCATCTGTAATGAGGTCTGGTGCCCTCTTCTGGCCTGCAGGCATACACACAGACAGAATATTGTGTACATAATAAATAAATAAATAGATATTTAAAAAAAAGAATCTGCATTTTGTAAAAACAACACAGCCCATATCAGTTAGCCCTCATGTTCTTTGTAAATGATAGATGACCAAAAAAATACACGCCTGTTTACCATTTTCCTACGATTTAGGTTGAACCAAATGATGAATAAGTTGGATATTCATCTCATATGTGGGTTTGAAATACTATTTTTCCAGGTCTTACTTCATGTCATTTTGAGTCTTTTGTCAGTTGATATTTCCAGAGATACATCAACAATATAACATCCTTAATGAGAAAATGTTGTTTACGTACATCCCCAAATCACATCATAGAAAAGGCCAAACATGACAGTTGGAATGCTCTGATTGTATGTCTTGCCCAATCATTCTTAGTTTTATGATGCTAAGGTAATCAGTGTCTACAGGACCCAATTTTCTTAAATAGCTAACAAATGACTTCAGGATGCTGTGGACTTCTATGACCTGACTTATTTTACTGTAATGACATTATTGTGCCTACACTTCTAATGGTAACAGACTTACTAGAACTGTCCTTGGAGACTTTATAAAGGCAATACAGTTAGGACTTACATCCTGATATTTACATACTTTGAATGTGCTTCATAATCTGCCCACTTACTGTCGCTTTGATTTGTACTCTCTTATCTTGTCCACGAAGAGTTTCTGTACCGGATCAAGTTCCTTATTAAACGCCACCGCTGTAACACCAATGTTCCTCCTCAAGTTCACAGAGACTGCCGACCGAAGGAGAGAGGACAGCCTGAAGATCCTCTGAAGAATCATGGTGAGTCTCTGGTACTAGACAAGCATCAGAAGATTATGTACTTTGCATAAATCACCTGAACTACATCACATGGCAAGACCTAATTCTATGGATTAAGTTATAGAACTACTGTATACTGGACCCAGGCTGTGACTGGCCAGTCACAGTTATATGGAATGACCCTTCTGCTTTTTACTGAAAAGCTCAAGGACATAGGAACAGTTGAGAGGTCTACTAGGGTTAAAGCAGAAAGAAAACACAAAATCCGGGGTGGTGCTTTGTCACCCATGAACTTAATCTTGGACCTGAGGAAACAGTGAGGTGAGGCTGTTCAAGAACACTGCTTGCCTCCAGGAAGAAAGGACGATGTGCTTATAATGTGCCTGTTTCCATGGCCCCGCAAAGGGCAAAGAGGGAGCTGGACAAAGAGAGCAAAGACAGTTGTCTTAGCCAGGATGAGAGGCTGAAAATTTCCACTTCACAGGACCACAGGAAGGAAACAGTTTTGTCTGCTAACAACAGCAGGATCCTAGCCACTTAACACTGTAACAACCAAATCAACTTCCAAAAGAAACAGCAAAGAAAAACAGCATCCACACCAAGTAAGCCCTGTGGTAACAGAGATTAGATGATACAAACTCATCAGAGAGTTTGCAGGAGGTCAAAGTCAAAAGTTTAAAAATCAGAGCTTAAAACCTTTCAAGTCCTTAGACCTGCTAAAGCTAAAACAAATTAATTTTCTAGGTAAAAATGTTGCTAGATACATTAAAGGACAGGATAATTCCTAAGACCTGATTTAGCAATCTAAAGATCAAATGTAAAAATATTCCAAATGACAACAAATACACTCAAGCAGTAAGCCCAAAAGGAAAAGACAGAGAGGCTGAAACTTAGTAGAAGAAAAATTTCTCCTGATCTAGACTTAGCTTATAACAAACAATAATGAAATGGCAATAGAAAGTATCCACACTTCAATGGACATCTTCCTAACATTTCTTTACAATAAATGTGCCCTGGGAAATAAAACCAGCCCTCTGCCACTTCACATCTTGCCGTAGTCTGCTGTCACGCAGTCAATGCCGCTCGAGCTGTCAGTGATAAAGGGCCCTTCAAACCCCCGAGGAAAACCTGCTATGCCAACATGCTTCTCCTGCTCTCCCCTAGATTTATTTTTTCTGAACCTGCCTGATGAAACGTGACTCGTACTGAATTGTGAGAGGACCACTAGCAGTGGGCATACTGCTACTGGCTTATGTTAATGGAGCAGCTAGATCAAGGATTTAAAAATCTTTACAGCAATTTGACTAATTTGACTCTTGAATTTAGTAATGACAACAATTCCAAAAGTGGTGGTAGAGAGACAGCATTAGATACCCAGAACCTGTGAGTTTTGCTTTGTTTTGTTTGTTTTTAAAGTCAGGATTGGCAGTAAGCTTATACTGCCAGCACTGGGGAGGCAGAGACAGGCAGATATTTGGGGCTCAGTTGATAACCCAGTCTTCTCGGCTAGATCTTAGACTGACCCTGTCTCAAAAAACACGACGCATAGTATCTGAAGAGTAACAGCTGAGGTTGGCCTCTGGCTGGTAGAGAAACACGTGCAGATGTGCCCACATACACCTAAATAAACACACACAGATGCATAGACAGGCACACAGACAGACAGACAGACCTGCATGGAGGGGTTGAAGTACCCCTTTATCGCTGAAAATTTGAGAAACATTAACTGTAAACCAGCAGCCTGGCACAGTGGTTACTAAGCATAGGTGAAAGCAGCATTTTTTTTCTCCCAGGGCGTATTTGTTGTGTGAAGACAATTTTAGTTGTCCTGAATAGGGTGGATGCAAGTGGCCTCTAGTGGGTAGAGATCAGGCATAAGTCTATGCTCCCTACAACATGAAAAATAACCCTCCCCACGCTCCTCACTTCAAAGAGTTATCCAGTCCAAAGTGTCAATAATACCAACTTCAAGAATGCCTGGAATAACATTTAGTACTCCTTAAAGAAATCAAATAAGCAGATAAGAGAAATATCATTCATAGGCCTGGATAAAAACATTTGAAGGAATTAAAGTCTTGATTACTGTGTCACTCATAATCTACCAGAAAATTATACAGGTGAAAGGACTACAAGCCAATAAATAATCAAAAAGACCTTAAAATAAGAAAATATCGCCCAACTCAATGTCTGTTCTTTTTTTTTTTGGAAATTTAGGAAGACACAACATACATCAGTAAGGCAACAATACTTGTTTAGCCCTAGGAAATTTGGAAACTATTGCTCAGTGAAGGAAAACACCCTTTAAAGAGTTATTAGGGCAAGGTGTTCCTAGTCTTGCTTACAGATGATAAAAATTATGTCTACAGAAGGTTACTGTTTACCAAACATCCTACAGCCAACCTGCTCCCAAGCTGACTACAAAGACTGTCACTTCTTCTACAAAATAGGCAAAATACAGCTTCCCTTCTCAATAATGCATCATCAAAGTACTGTTTCTCAACTCACACTTCTAATATACCTGCTTCCTGAGTCCCAACCAAGGATTTATGTATATATTCACCTCCTAAATCCTACACAATCATCCACAACATGAGCACATACTCTCTTACCAAAGCTACTCGGTGCTGCTTTTTTATTGCCTTCCACTGTTTCAGATTCAACAGTGTCTATGGACCGTTCACTATTCCACAGAAGGCAAATGCCACCGTAAGTGTAAAGCATCATCTGTGACAAATTCTATACTGATATACTATCAGGAGCTAGCTGCTGTTAGGGCTCTAATATTAAAATACTGGGGAAGGAATGGGGGGAAAAATCAAAAGAAGTTCAAACCCAGAGGCGTAGCGTTGGGAAGGAGCATGGCTCTTCTATTTATAGCGATGACCGACCAGCCCGACAAAGGCTAGTCCGTTTCCTGCCTGTTAGTATCTACTCATGAAGTCAATCCACAAAGCTGTTTTAGCAGCAACGTTTCTAGACCAGAGGCAAACTTCTGGGATATGACTGGTGCCCTTTCTCGCCTTAAGGGACACGACCTGCTCGGGTCTAATTCACTAGCTTCTTCTGACCTTGGGTGGCCCCAGGCGGGCTGCAGACCCACCACCCCGCCTTTCTGCCTTTCGTGCTGGCCCGTTCTGCTCCCAAAAGGGTATTAATGGTTGTACTTATTGTTTCTAAGGCAAACTTGAATACCCAGCAGGGCCGAGGTCACCCTGTGACCTCAGGCCAGGCCGTGAAGGTGCCAAGGGCACAGGGCTACGCTCTCCTACTAGAGCAGAGGTGATGGGCATCCCTGGACTTGTGAAGAAACCCAGAATCGCTGTCCCCAGAGGCCGCACTAGCCTAGTTTACCCTCCCAGTCACCTTGCACTCAGTCCCGAGCTGCCAGAGTCACCGCCGCCGCCACCGTTCTACTTCCGGCCCTGGCTCCGCCTACACACGCCTACCCGCCATCGCAATGCATTATGGGCCACCGCTTCAGTCGTTCGACGCTCACCGGACAGGAAGCGCCTCGGAGACAGTCCGCGACCGGACGCCTCTAGGTGAGACAAAAGGCAAACAGGAGGAGGAAGTGGAGGGTAAGTGCTTCCGGGTCCCCTAGCAAAGCCTCCGCCATCTTCCCTTCACTTAACTTCACCTCTCTTTCCCTCTTGGAAACAGTGCCCTGTACGCATGCGTACTTTGTTCTCTCTCCTAGTTCAAGCTCCCTTCGGAGTCAACGTCTTGTTCCTTGGGGTTGGGGAGGCAGATGCAGTGTGGGGGTAAAGCGGGCGCGTCAAACCAAGCGGCCTGGGGCGTTTGTGCCTCGTGAGCCTCCGTTGCCGCGGGCGTTCGTGTCGCGCACCCTGCTGGGAGTTGTAGTTCCAGGCCCAGGGGTGCCTGGGAGGCGGGAGAGGGGCTGAGGTTCCTTAGCGCCGATTCCGCGGGAAGGGCCCCGGGGCCTCACTCTGCGAGTCGCGGGCGCGGTGCGGCTTACCCGGAGAGGCGCTGCACGTGGAGCCCGCGCCGCCGCCGTTCCCTGCCGGCTCTGGAGCGCGGCCGAGGGCCACGGGGCGGATTCCGGAGCTGGTGAGTGCGGCCGCGGGCTGGCGGAGGAGCGCGGGCCCGCGCGGCCGGCCGGGTTCCGGGGCTCTTCCCCCCCGCCGCGGCCCCCCCGCGGCCGCCTCTGTGTTTTGTTTCCGCTGGTCCCCGGCGTTGTGACTCCCATTTCCGTTCGTGGAGACTTGAGGGAGTCGGGTGGGGAGGGGCGGGAGAGGCTGTGCGGGGAGCCGAGGGGAGGGGCGCGGGGAGCGGCCAGGTCCGGGGCCGCGCGGCGGGACGCTGAGGACGCGCTCGTCACCCTGCGCGATCCGGGCCCGGCGCCCTGACTCTCCACGTAGTCGCGGCCCTCCCGGGTCTCTGTCACCCGACTCAGCGATTCCCGCATTCCACCCCTAGTTTTCCTTCTAGAACTGTCTCAAAGTCGCAACAGTGCCACCGCACTGATCTTTATGCTTTCTGTTTTCGAAGAGATCAGTCAGTGTTAATTAAGTAGCTTGCCAGCTACCGTTTCCACCGTTGCTGTAGTGCAGCGAACACGATGGAGTCTAGGGATTCCACCCTAGGGTTAACAGCACAGAGAATGGTGCCAATACCTCGCTTCATGAGGACGAGTAGTCATTTGAAAATCCATAGGTAGGCCAGTGAGATCCAACTGCTGCCTGTGCTCAGCCGCTGAAACCGAAGTGCCAGGAGAGACCTGACAGCCACAAGCAGCCCTCTGACCTCCACACGTGCGCACAGGCAGACACACGAGCATAACTCACTGTCTAGCCCTGGCTGACCAGAGACTTGCTATTTAGTCTAGGCCGGCCTAGAATGCGGAGGTCTGTGTGCCTCTCTGCTTTCTGAGCACCCGCATTAAAGGAGTGCACCATCACGCCTGGCAGTAAGTAAATGCAGGTTTTAAAAACCTATAGGGAGTCTGGACTAACGAGAGGCCTGAGTGCTGGCAAGAGCAAAGGATTTGAACAGATTCACCGTCGTTCTGTTTTTAGGTACCACACAGTCTTTAACTCCACAAGATACTGGCCACCTCTTTAGCACCTTTTTTTTTCTTCTTTGCGTGCGTACGCAGGTGGGCCTAAGTCCATTGTACCTGTACTACAAGTACAGAAGTGGATCTTGGGTGAAGTAGTGAATTAAGTCCTGAGATGTTAAGTTGAAAAAGTCAGGAGAGCAGACAGAAGCCAAGTACTGAATTAGCATGATCACCAGATACTTCTGGCAACTAAAAAACATTGAATCTATAGGACTGGAAAGAAAAAGGGTGGTTTTGAAAATGCATGTGCTCTTCACCAGAAGGGAGATCTTCAGTTTTTAACTTCTAATCAGATTTGATTTTTTTTTTTTTTTTTTGGTTTTTTGTTTTTTCGAGACAGGGTTTCTCTGTGGCTTTGGAGCCTGTCTTGGAACTAGCTCTTGTAGACCAGGCTGGCCTCGAACTCACAGAGATCCACCTGTCTCTGCCTCCCGACTGCTGGGATTAAAGGTGTGTGCCACCACCGCCCGGCCAGAATTGATTTTTGCTCTTTCCACACACATCACAGATGTCCATGCTGTACTTTTTCCTAATGCTGCCTGCGTTTTCTAGGAAAAGCACGATATAATGTAAATTTCATTTTGGGATGATCTGTACTTGTGCATTTCTTCACACCCCGAGTTTAGTTTGCTTTTTTGTGCATTTCCTGTTTCTGTGCTCTGCTTTGCCAGTGTTTGTAGTTTGTCCCAACTTTTTCTCTTTTTGGTTATTAATTAACTGAAGGTTTGGTCTCTTCCATGTAATAGCTATTTTCATGTGTTGTAGGTATCTTTTCTGTTCTGCAACTTGCTCATTGAACATTTTTAATCTTATACAATCAGATTTTTAGCTAGACATTTGTAATCCATCTCCATGTTAAGCTTCAGGTTGAAAACCAAGTTGCTTTAATATAGTTGCTATAATTTTCATTTGCTTTTGTAGTGTCTTGAATTAATTTACTGACTTAGACTGGGCCAACAAGTTCCAATAAATAATGAAATCACCAAAGCAGGCTAATAAACGGCAATTTAAACAAAAGCCAGTTTATAAATGCTGTGTGCGAGCTTTCACATATATAAAGAGCACTTCTGTTTTCTTCCTCTTTCATTCAGATTTGGTCTTTTTCTTGCAAAACGTTTTTGTTTATGCCAAGATGTTTAAAAATCTCTTAAACTTTAACTCTTCCAGGACTGAACATTTGAAATATTTCAGCCATGACTAAGAGAGAAGCAGAAGAACTGATAGAAATTGAGATTGATGGAACTGAGAAACCTGAGTGCACAGAAGAAAGGTTGGCATTTCTGAACTGATTAGGTTACTACTACTGGTATATGGTTACCCTCAAGAGCAGGCCAATATGTTTATTTTTGTTTTTCCTCTGACTTAATAGGTTTGTAGCTCAGGGAGAAAGGCATTTCTGAAATAGAAGCAATAATAAACTTAGTTGATAATTAATGATCACACATTTATAAAAACCAGCCCCACCCCCATCTAAAAGGCATTTCCTTGATTTTTTTTCCTTTAATTCTTTCACTAAGCGCTGGTCACTTTTATTTCAAAGACAGTTTAATTCAACCTGAATTTAATAATAGTTATTTATGAATAACTGCTGTATATTGGTAACTGTCAGGAATAAAATAAGTAAAATAAGACATATTGAAATGACCTTATGAAAGTCTCATAATATTTGAGGAGACATACTGGTCCAGCACAGTAAACATGCTGCTTCTTGGAATGACAGAGGAGGTTGTGATGAATTGAGAGTCAAGGGAGAGACTGATAGAGACAGACTGGAGTCCGTAAGAAGGTTGTGGGAGGTGGTAGCTGAGGTGCTCTTTTACTCTAAAGCTGGAGACAAGACAGTGGAACTGAAAGGCCCTAGTGGACTTCTGGAGAGTAGCAAAAGGCCGGTGTGATGACTTAGATCTAGAGGGTGCTGAGCTGGGAAGATAGCTAACATTTAAACATCAGTGCTGAAAAGAGCATTCCATTTATTTGTCCTTTCTGCAGCAGAATAAGTGATTCTCTTATTTTATTACTGATGAGTGTTTCAGAGAGTCAGGAGCTGGGGATCAGCCTAGCTGGGTGGCTTTGACTCAAGTAGTTACGTTTGTCAGTGTGGTCTGCAGTCACCTGAGAGTGATCTGAAGCTATAGTATATGCCAAAGATCACTCTTGCTATTGTGGGAAGGAAATGTCCGTGTGTCCAGTGAGGCTTTCTCTATGGCTTTTCAGCTAGACTGAGGGGACAAGGTAGAAGCCATGGTGCCTTTTCCATAAGTCAGCCTAAGAAACCTTGTAGCGTTTGCTCACTCAGCTCAACCCTTGTTCAGGTGGACGGAGCTACAAAATTGGAGTCTAGCATGTCTTTTTCTATGCACTCAGACACCTCCAAATGCTTCATAGAGCCTGTAGTATTTATCACAGGCCCTTTGCATGTGTCTGGGTGGGAGACTAGCTGTTACCATGTGGCTAACTAACATGGAGGCCATTGCTGGAATTGAGAAACAGTAATGTATGATCAACCACATTCCTTCAAAAGAAACTACATATTAAGATTTTTAGATTCCCAAGGTTTGTAACTTTACAACAGGAAACTTTGGAGAACTTAATACTCAGTATTCATAAAAGTGAAATTTTATAATGTTTTAAAGTAACATTTGGATCTTTTAAAAATCATTGTTACTAAAAAGGACAGGTTTCTGTGCTTAGTAGCTAAAAAATATGCCCAAAGTGTTCTCTTAATCAACAGAACATTCATTACATTGACCAATAGTAATAATATACTGTTACTTTGAAATAATATTGTTTTTAATCATGAATGGTTCTGTTTTGTAAATTTTAAATATTTTAAGAACAAATGTATATATTTACTTTGTATGTATATCCTAATATTAGTAAAAATAAAATAATAAATTGTGTATGTATGTGTGTACACTCACACATTGATGCATGTTTGTGTTTTGAATGTGGATGCCTGCATGCCACAGCATGCATGTGGAAGTCAGAGGTCAGCCTCAGGTGTGGGTCCTCAGTATCCAGCGTGTTTAAACAGAGCTCTTGTGTTTGCTGCTGCCTAGTCTCACCCAACTGGCCTGTGAGCCTAAGATTTTCCTGCCTTGTCTCCCATCTTATTGTAGGAGCACTGCTGAGATGTGGGCTACCATGTCTGGCTTTACATGAGTTCAGAGGATGCAAACGCTGATCCTTGACCTATACAGCAAGTGCTAGCCTATTGAGTCATCCCTAGTCATTCACCTGTATTTTAATAAAAATTTTTACCTTTTTATTTATTTTTTGATTTTTCGAGACAGGATTTCTATGTGGCTTTAGAGCCTGTCCTGGAACTCACTCTGTAGACCAGGCTGGCCTTGAACTCATAGAGATAGACCTGTCTCTGCCTCCTGAGTGCTCGGATTTACGGTGTATGCCAACACCACCTGGCTTTATTTTTATTTTTAATTAGGTATGTTTTAGTTATGTGTCTTAGTGAGTATATGTAGGTGAATTCAGGTACCAGCAGAGGCAAAAGCATCAGCTGACCATGCAGCTAGCCAACATTGAGGTGAGAGCTACCTGAAGTGGGTGCTCAGAACCAACTCATGTCCAGCTGCTGCTTCATACTTACTTTTGATACATATTTTAATAACTGTAAAGAGATTTTTATTTAAATTATATTTAAAGCAAATATGTTGTGAAGTTTAATTCAGTAAATACTACTTTCTCAGTCTTCTCTTTTCCCTCTAAGCATTTATAAGAGGTGTGCAACTGCTTGTCAAGGCTTTAAACCTATTTGAATTGTGAAATAACAGGGCAAAAGAGCTAAGTAAGGCTTAAGGAGCAATAATTTCCTAAGACTATCTGGGCAGTGGCATTGCAAGCCTTTAATCTAAGCACTCAGGAGGCAGAGAGACAGGTAGGTCTCCATGAATTCTAGGCCAGCTTGGTCTATATAGTGAGTTCAGGACCGCTAGGGCTATGAAGAGAAACTGTCTCAAAAACCCAATAGCTGGTATTCAAATCAAATTGGAAGTATTTATATTGTCACACCTTAACAATTTATATTTACTAGATTATATCAGGAAGGAAATTGATTAGTAGAAATGATGTACAAAGTTTTGATTTTATTGTTGTTTCATTTTGTTTTGGTTTTTGACATAGGGTCTCATATAGCCCAGGCTGGTTTATATTTCTCTGTAGAACTAAGGCTGGAGAATGGCCGTGAACTGATTCTCTTGCCTCTACTGTCCTAAGTGCTATGATTACAGGCTAGTGCCACCTTCCCAATAAGCTTCACAGATTTTAAGGGCATAGTGTATTACCATGTTTTTAGGCCTTAAATCTTGAAAATAACTTGAGATGTAATA